GATAAGATACCATACCGGGGCTTAGAAGGAAAAGGTCACCAACTCCATAGCGCGGGCCATAGCAACAATGGGACGTTATTTCCAAGTGGTAAGATAGGGTGAAGGATGGGAACATTATTGGTGGGTGACAGGCCGTGATAACAGTTGATAAGATACCACAAGGGGCTTAAGAAGGAAAAGGTCACCAACACCATAGCGCGGGCCATAGCAAAGATGGGACGTTGGTTCCAAGAGGTAAGATAGGGTGAAGGATGGGAACATTATTGGTGGGTGACAGGCCGTGATAACAGTTGATAAGATACCACAAGGGGCTTAGAAGGAAAAGGTCACCAACTCCATAGCGCGGGCCATAGCAACGATGGGACGTTGGTTCCAAGAGGTAAGATAGGGTGAAGGATGGGAACATTATTGGTGGGTGACAGGCCGTGATAACAGCTGATAAGATACCACAAGGGGCCTTAGAAGGAAAAGGTCACCAACTCCATAGCGCGGGCCATAGCAACGATGGGACGTTGGTTCCAAGAGGTAAGATAGGGTGCAGGATGGGAACATTATTGGTGGGTGACAGGCCATGATAACAGCTGATAAGATACCACAAGGGGCCTCAGAAAGAGTGGGTTACCTAATTCATAACACCGGCCAGAGCAACGACCGGACGTTGGATCCAAGCACTAAGATAGGGGGCAGGATGGGAACATTATTGGTGGGTGGCAGGAAGTGATAACAGCTGATAAGATACCATAAGGAGCCTTAGAATGGGTGGGTTACCTAATTCATAACACCGGCCAGAGCAACGACCGGACGTTGGATCCAAGCAGTAAGATAGGGGGCAGGATGGGAACATTATTGGTGGGTGGCAGGCAGTGATAACAGCTGATAAGGGCTGATAAGAGGCGCTAAAGTGCAAAAGTCATCCAGTTGTTTGGTCGTTTCCAGTAACACGTGGACATTAGTTCTAAAAAGGATACGGAAGAAGGGACAAGGAGAATGGTGATGGATAGTAGGTAAGGGTATGAATTTAGAGCTACTTCGAGGGATTCAGAAATACTGAATACTATATTCCTGTTAATAATGCAGTGCACAATTCTATGCATAATACATGGTCTGAAACCTGGATATGAATGGTAAAAACTGAAAGAAAATAAGAAGTGAAAATGCTGATACGGAGCATCGGAATTCGTATCACCGGATTCTGCGCGCCTTCCAGTCAGTGCGAATGCAGTTCTATAAGAAGATTAACTGTAAAAAAGAGAATAGCTGTAAACTCCACTACTCGAACAACCGCTAAAATTCCTTGAAGCCTGACGAGTGACCACGTATCAGACCTGTGGGATTCAAAATCAATAGGATATCCACAAATTGATGATATGGTTAGGAATGTTGATACGTTCATATGTTGATAATGTGCAACGGAGAGCCATATCAATCGACAAAGTATGATAAGATGTCAGTGAATCTTAGCTCATTTTTCCATCATTTGCTTCGGTGGATACCTACAGCAACGTTTTCCCAGGTAATTTGCAACTGTTTTCAGTTTTGTTCGAGCGGCAGGAACTAGGCGGCAAGTAGCCCATAGTGGTGAACATGCAACACATCCTCAATAATTCCTATCTAACAAGGCATTTTCCATCACTTTAGTGTAACTTCCTCAACTCATACCGTGAGCCGTTATTTTCACCTGAGAACGGTTGATCTATGTCTCCCTATTCGGGGTTTGTGTTATCAGATGAATACTATGAGGAACTGTACTTCACAAACAGTGAGATTCTGTTTGACCACTCCTGCCCGGTGCGCACCTTTAGCGATCGCTTTTTTGTTCGAAGCCTTACATTTGTGTGAAAATGAAACGAGGACCACTTACATTCGTGGGATCTAGGGATTCGAGGTTTTCAAAAGCCGCGAATTTTACCAGTTGGGCGAAACCAGTCGAAACTCTTCTGACCCTTTCATCACCATCGCTTGAAGCCCGGGTAGAACGGCGGGACTCGGAATCTGCGAACCGAGAAGCAGATTTCCTTCTCAGCGTTGTATCTAAGAGCTCAATCACCAGGTGCACTGTTCGAATGCCTCCAATCTTATAGTCCTCCCTCAACAGAAAGAAACCTTACATATCTTGCCTGCCGCCTCTATGGTCCTTCTGAAATTTTAGCTTCCCACAAGTTTCCATGATCGGTTGCTTTACTTTCAGCATCGCACACTATCAAGAGCAATGGAACAGAACTCACAGAGGGGGAGACCAAGGATCTATTCCAGCGAAAGTGAGCGCCTTCGAATCAGACGGCAGCGTGAAACGCCGCAAGAAAGGGCGTTCGCCTTGAAACGGAGTCTGCGCGGCAGCAACAACGGCGAGAAAATGAGAATTGGGAAGAGCGGTCTTCCCGGTTGCAGGCGAACGCCCATAGGCAACAGCAGAGGCGTCAGCATGAAAGTTCCGAAGAAAGAACAGCTCGACTTCAGAGGAATGCTCAGAGACTGCAGCAGAGGCGTCAACAGGAAAGCGCCTGCAGAACGAACTTCACGACAGCAAGAAGACGCTCTAAGGCAGCAGCAGAGGCGCCAGCATGAAAGTTCCTGAAGAGCGTTCTTCTCGCTTACAAGCGAGCGCGCATAGGCAACAGCAGAGGCGTCAGCTTGAAAGTTCCGAAGAGCGCACTTCTCGCTTACAAGCGAGCGCGCATAGGCAACAGCAGAGGCGTCAGCTTGAAAGTTCCGAAGAGCGCACTTCTC